AACCAATTTTGATGTGACCAATATCAAAAAGGGTGTGAAAACATTTGTGGCTTCAAAGTTTTTTGTTTTTAGGACAAAAATGGCTCGTTGAAGTGAAGGTTGCGGACTCCCGGCCTAAACAGGTCAAACTGAGTCAGGATATTACAAAAACTATAAAACTGTCTGACCTTGTGAGCAGAAAGTTGGGGGGATACTCAAAATCTGATCCACATCTCCACCTGTGGCATCATTACTAGTGTTGAAAACAAGCTTCAAAGTTGACATTTTGAAAGATAGATAACATGCATTTTCAATAAAATACACATTTCATTAGGACCCATCTTTATCAGAAGTTCTGTTGGGTTCATATTGAAGCCTCCCCGTCTCAGCGGTCATAAACCTCCAGCACGCAGCAGGTTCAGAGTGTTTTTGTTTGTGCTGCTGAATGAGTTTGCTGCCTGTCATTAAATCAGCCATGCAGGGAGGAACACAGTCAGCCTGTCTCCAGCTTCCCTGTGGCGGCTGTTCACCGATCTCGATCTGCTCCTGACTCTGTCAAACCGACTCTTCTTTTCTGCAGACGCCACTTCTACATTTACCTCAATGAGTCTAATCGATGTTGTTATGCAAAGCAACTTGTTCAAGTGGAACGGTAATGAATCTCTAACTAACAACAGGAAAGAGGGCAGAAAGTGAAGGCAAAGGAAATGCAGTGATGTCTGTAGAAATTTAAAGAGCAAAACTTTGTTACCTTTTAGCAGTTCTGGATCAAAGGGAATTTTTAAATTTTTTTACTCATATATATATATTTAACCTAAAATTGACTTCATTCATTATGAATTTCACAACTTTAAAACATACAAAATCAACAAAAATAAAAAATGAAAATTGGAACACAATTTACATGTATTTTTCTCCTTTTTGACTAAATCTGATAAAAATATCAAAATAATCTCGTACACCAGTTCATTTCTGAATAAGCTAAGCTGAAAACAGGATTTTTTAATTTTTGTCCAACAGAGCTGATTTTATTTGATTATTTTTCCCTGGAAAACAAAGTAGTGGCATTGATTAGATTTCTCTTTGAATGCTTTTAATGGCCACTGTACTGACTTTTGGTCATCAATATTGTGGATGTGTATGTAAAGAAATGATTGATTAATCAAGACTGTTGGCAGGTGCTCATAATATTGTACCTTATTGGTCTCTAAAGTCAGAATGATGTGGGAAACAAACTCGTTTTGAAACATTCCTAGACAACATTCATCCTTTAAAAAACAAACAAAAATGAACTCAGTAAACAACTTTATTGTTGAATGAAAAATCAAACCCACACACGCTTCTCAAAATTTTTTTACTTTGAGGCCATTTTTTAATCAGGAGGCACAAAAACAAAATTTAACTTGGTTCACTTCATTATGACCCTCAGTGTGTAAACATTTGCTTCTCAGCTGCACTGACAGAAACGTTTGTCCAGTTTCACTCAGTCTCATCTACAAAGCTGATCCAGAGAAAGAAAACACTGAACCAACCCAAACTTTAACAACTCGTCATTAAATTCACATCTGAACTTCAGAGTTTAGGATGGATGTAGTGCTGTTTGTTACAAACTTCGATAATTGATACACTTCTCGTCTTTTGCGTTGTTTTGCACATGAGCTGCACTTGAGAAAATTCATTTTGATTAGAAGAATGTCTGATTCTGTTCCTGTCTGACTCGCCTCCTCTCACAGTTTGATGCTTTGTCCACATTTACCTGCACATCAAAGCAGATTAGTGTCTAAGAATGGTCTCTGTGTGAAGCAAATGAGGCGACGGCGTTAAGAGCGGCTGCTGCTGCTGCTGCTCAGACCTCACAGCTGAAATGCATTAAGAAATCGAGGAAGGAAAGTTCCCTGCAAGCAGCTACAGGTTTTAGAGAAGTGAACAACCTCACACTTCAGCGTAGGGGCGGCGAGACGGACTCAGAATTTTATCGCAACATTTTGTGGTACTATTCCGATAACGATAAAGATTATGATAAAAAATAAACATATTACGTATTTTTTAGGTAGCTGCATGGCTGTGACTTTATTGGATAGCATTCGTCGCACCACAAAATATTGTTCCTAAAAATATTCTCATTTAAGAAAAAATGTGATTTGTCACTAAAATGCATACAACTGCATTTAATCATATTTCTGAATTTACTGATATTTATTGAGGCTCTGGTGGAAAAAATACTGGAGAAAATAACATTTAATATTTTTCATTTATAATTTATAATTGAAATTTATCATAATAAATCAAAATTTTATAAGGAATGTTTCACAGTAAATGCCCATCACCCCTACTTTTAGTTATTTAAGCTAAAAAAAAACTAAAGATTTTGAGACTATTAAACCCAAATTAACTTCAACTGACTTCTCCATTATTTATTTCAATAGTTAGGACAGTGTGGGAGCAAAAAGGAGATCATTGACAGCGAACTCTAAATTAAGTAGTTTAACCTCCGTTCCATCCACAACTGAAGTTTTTTCAGACTAATGCTACACCATTAAACTACATTAGTTTAATATTTTGATAGTTATGTGGAAAAAAATGAGACTCACAAGATTTTTTTCTTTGCAACAATTTTTATAACTTTCTGACGATCAGTAAAATCTTGAGACAGTCCTGCCGTGTGTGGAGAGTTCAGCGTCTGTTTGGAAGGACTTTGGGATCGCTCCGATCTAAAATCCAGGATACTCTACATGTTGGATTGTCTTAACCCAATATGGTGCTGATATTATGTGGACAAACGAGAACACAGCTCGTTGAGTGCGACGTGCAGCCAATCTGAAAGCGAGGAGAGAGAAAGACGGTGGGGAATTCAAAAAACAACTTCCATGGAGCTCCAGAAAGCTTGGTGGGCATCAGAGACGTCTTTTCTCTGTTACTCCACAAATAATCACTGTTGCTTCTTCCTTGTCGGCCATGTTTGTGTTCTCTGAATTCACGTTTGATCTCGTAAGATTTCCCATCGGACACTGAATGAAGTCTGTTGGTGGTGTGTTGATCAACACCACACACTGTAGGACCAAACATCTTTCTGATTCCTAATATTTTTTATCGCTGTGTGTAGTCTCTTACGTTTTGAAAAGTGTTTGTTCTGAAGTTGCTGGAAGAAACGACAGCAGCGAAATAAACCCTGTCGTCAACATAACAAATAAACCCTGTCGTCAACATAACAAGCAAATCTCTAAATTGCTTGTTATGTTGCTGTGTTTGTGTGTTTAATTGAAACAAGTCTCTGTTGTAAATGTGATCTCGGATCTCACAGAGACAACTTCTATGAATAGAGGCCCAATAATAAAGAAAATGCTGGTCAAAACAGGAGCAGAAACGGTGTTGGTTTGAATGCTGCCAGACTTTCAGAGCTTCAAATCATCTTTGTCCTGCAGTCATTTATCAAAGTGGTGATTTAAAAGATGACTTGGCTCAGCAATGCGCTCTCTTAAGTCCCTTCAAAGGGTGTAGGTTTGCCAAGTCTCCAAACTGCTGCTCTTGAAGAAAATGTTCCTCATTGCATAAATTAACCTTTCAGTTCCTAAACATAACATCATTCTAAGCTCTCACCTATTATCTTTTATGCTTCTCAATATTTCTTTCTCTTTTTTTCCACTACAATTTTGACCAGAAAAATAATCAAAGCCTTTGACTACACCCCTTGGTCCATTGCTAGTTTTCAAAAGATACCTCATGCTTCAGACATCCAGGCTCGGGGGAAACTGCTCAGTCTTACAAAAAGATTTTCAAACATTGGAATGTATCAAGAGATTTTTTTCCCTTCTTCAGTGCAAAAACAGGCGTCCTTCACACTCACCAAATTAGTTTTGCTGCTCCAGGCACGGAGTTTCAATCTAACTTTTAGCAAAGCGTTTTAGGATCATTAGCTCCAGGCTGATGAGACTTTTCCTCATTAGCTTCAAGCTAAATCCTAAAATGTCTGAGCCTGAAAATGACCTACTTAGTCATGACTGACCATTAGATGCAATGTACATAATAGCGAATTTGGTCACTTTTAATGAAACTTTCCCCCCATAAAACTTCTGAAACTGTCATCCCTCGTGGGCTTTAACAAGATGCAAAACGGATCCCAACACAAAATGCAGAAATTCACTTTGCCTTTGTGAAAACAACCGTAAAGATGTCAGTGACTGATACTCTTGCATTATTTGAAATTCTCAACCTAGTTTTACTTCATGTGACACACTCCGATCTATATTCAACCTCTTGTAAAACACCGTTTTCTTTTTTTTTACTAAACAATTTAACAGATGCTTGCTGCATCAACAGAACCAGATCTGTGGTTACAAATGTTAATTACACATCAAAATGTTTTACTCAGAGTTGTTTTTTCGTCTCCACAGTCTCTTGAGGACAACATCTCAAAGCACAGAAGCATTTTTGTCTCAGTTTGTCCAAAAATATATATATAAAGGAATGGAGTTGCTAAGGCAACTAAGATAAACCTAAACGCTTCACAAAGTCCATAGTAACATTTCACATTGTGTTTTGGTACAATGATTTTTAAAACGATATGAAATGCATCTTTATATTCTACAGAATGTGTGATTAAGTCAGGGGTGTCCAAAGTGTGGTTCAGGGGCTGCATGTGACCCTTGGATTGATTCTGTGTGGCCCAGCCAGCAAACATGGTTGATGCAGATGGAGACATTTTTATCTTTAATTTCTAACAAATTAAAATCTTTCAATGAAAAATCTTACATAAAACACAAAGTATGTGTTTTAATAAAAACACTTTTTGATTTCTCTTTGACTCAGTTAATAAAACCAGATTTACTTCTTTGTAGACTTTAGACAACCCAGATTTGCTTTTAATTAATTGATTAAACTTGGCTTAAGATAGAAAACATTTTTAAATAAAATCCTGTTCTTGTTGGCGATAATAGGTTTTATATATATATATATATATATATATATATATATATATATATATATATATATATATATATATCAAGGCCTAAAAGAATTTTCAAACTGGATGCCTTAAAATGGAAAACCCTTTTTAAATTTTGGATTTACACAGATTTAAACATATTTCCAACAAAAACTGACTTTGTTATTTAATTAAAATTATTGTATGCTTAGTTTATTGTTGAGCAATAAAAATCTTAAGATAAAACAATAAAAACTATAGTTTTTTGGCCTGCTAATTCTTTTTACTTGGTCCATGTGACAAAAAGTTTGGACAGCCCTGGCTTAAGTTGTGGAATAAATTTGGCAGCTGGTGTAAGAAACCAAAATATTCATTAAGGGAATTAAAATATGCACCTGGAAATTGGAGAAAAGTAAAACATTAATGAATATTTTGTGAAATCCCTTTAAACCCAAACACATGAATCTGGAAATCATCTTTACATGTTGCCACCAGGGGGCAGCACTTCACATTTTCTCCCCAGTACTTCAATAAAAGATTGACAACTTCAACATTGAAAAAGTAACAAAGTGAAAGCAGCAAAAACTTGTTGCCAAGACACAAATCCCACATTCCAGTTTCTGTAAAAATGCATATTACCACCTTGAAGTCAAACACTGTTGCCTGTTTGTATCAGAATATCCACAATTTTACAGTAAAGCAACAGAAACACAACACCAAACTGTTTGCTTTTGCCTTCGCCTTGAAGTTGAGCCACTTTTGGTAAAGAGTCCAGGAGGCTCTTGAGCCGAGCGACGAGTCCAGAGGGTCTTCAAGTCGTCTTCTTCACCTCCAACCCTGTGAAACAGCGGCAGCGCGTCGGGTCGGCAGAACTCCTGTTAGATAAAATACTCCTTTGGGTTCTGGGAGGACAGGTTCTGGGAGTCAGTCTGGTTGTTGAAAGGGAAGTCTGGACTGTCTTCCTGTTTGACTGTGTTCCCCTCCTGGTTTCGATACGTGTCCTTCCTCCGGTAGAGGTACCGCGCGGCGACGGCCAAGCCGGTCAGAACCACGAAGATGACGACCGCTATGATACCTGGAATTAGAATATCATGAAAATGTTTAATTCAATAAACAGTGTTTCTTTTATGGTAATCTGACTGATTGTGGGAGCAAATAAAAAAAGATAAAATACTGAATACAGTTTTTCCTTCCACTCAACTTTCCATTAACATACAGCCCTCTGAAAGTCTATCGTGACCTGGACTATAAAACCAGCCGTCTTCCTGTATGAGCCATAACATTATACATTAAAACAGTTTTTATTAGTCTAATATTTTCTGAGAGACTGAAACTTGTTTTTTATTAGCTGCAGGCTGTAATCATCAAAAGAAAAAGAAACACTTGAAATAAATGAGTCTGTGGGTTGAATCTATACAGGTTTAACTTACTGAATTGTTTCTCTTTTCTAATTTATATGCAGAAACTGTGGCATAACAGAACCGCAGCACATTTCTTTTATGCACAGCTGATTGAATTGCTAATCTAAAAATCACTTTAAAAAGTTTTCCATCAGTTAAGATCAAACCTGAGCACTTTAGGGAAAACTAAGTAGAGCTTAATAGGTTGAAGCAGAATTTAAAATCAGTTTAATAATGCATTAAAAAATGGCCATGTATTGTGATAATGACAGAGTAAGCTTTCTCAGCAGATTTCTGTAGTTCGATTAGGTTTCCTGCCCTTTGTGTACAGCAGGATTGAATGGACAGTTTTAAATGACTTCCACAGTTCCCACCTCGTAGAGTCTCCACTTTGAATCAATTAATGCTGGCAGAGAACCAAAGTTTAAATTGGTTTTAAATCGAGTCATGTCTTGCCCATCTCTCGCTCCAAACATTTTAAATGTCGCCTGAACAAACACATTAAAGCCAAGTTTTATAAAAGATGCTATGCCTGATTTGAAACTGATGGTGTAAGCAAAGGTAACACAGATTCCAATGCAGGGAGAGGCAGAAATGGTTTAGTACCTCCAATCACAGCCGAGTCGGTCCTGATGGCATTGACTAAAGGTTGACCTGAGCCCACTGAGCCGGACCGGTCTACAGCGAAGAGTCAGGAGGAACAAATCAGAGCAAGAGACACGTTAGAAAGACCAAAATAAAAAGCCAGAAGTCATCACCGAATTGAGGAGGAAAACGAGAGAAGCAGAAATTATGTACAGACAGCAAAGCAAGAGAAATACTGAAGCATCCAGTTAGCTTTAAACACAGAACCCCCAGTTGTAATGCATCACAACTGGAAATAGTTTTTATTCTCATTCTTTTAAGTTTAATAAAAGTATGATAAAAGTTTTTGTTCCCCTAAACTGCAAAAACACAAAATCTTACCAAATATTTTTGGTCTAGTTTCTAGTGCAAAATATCTTAGTACACTTGAAATTAGACTAAACTAATTTACAAGTAACTTTTCAGCAAAATATGGGAGCTTGTTTACAGTCAATAAATCCTTAATATCGACGGAAAAGTTCTGGTACTATTGGCAGATTATATCACTTCTACAGACATTTTTCCTTGTTATATGTGAAATAATCTGCCAATAGTAACACTACTCCACCTATCTTTGTGAAAAGTTACTTAACTTGTATTATATATTTGCACTAGAAACTAGACCAAAAATACTTGGTAAAGTTCTGTGTTGTTGCAGAATGTGAAAAGAGTAGAAAGAAAATCCGATCAACAAAACAAGTACTGAGGAAATATAGAAAAACAGAAGAAGAAAAAAATGAACCAGAACATAATTATGGCTAAAATGTTTCTCTGGAGAAATAAATGAAAATCTCATTTCATTGTTCTTGTAGATGTTCTGTATTTGACCCTGAATAAAATACTTTATTTATTTCTTAAGTTTAAATGGTAGGACCAGACACAATGACAGACCAACTGAATAAAGCAGCACAAGTAAACACAAATCAAACTTCTATTAATAACAGAAACCTCAAAGTTTGATCCCTAAGTCCGTGTTTTACCTGATATATGGTGAATGTTTTCAGCTGCGTAGGGATTGGCTGAGGCTGCAGAGCCACAGTTGGACCGAACCAAAGGTCCGGTGATGATGACGGGGCTGGTGTCTGGGTGGAGCAGAGCAGCTTTCAGAGGATTGATGGAGTTGAACTGAACTACTGACAGGCAGCCGGTGAAACCCAGAGAGGCCAGCCGTGCCAGATGAGGGTCCAAATCACCAGACTCTGCAAAAGAAAGTAAAAAATATACATTATTCTGAACATCTGTGCAAAACAGGTAGCAAATGGTGCAAAGTCATACAATATTGCAACACTGATATCTAAATTAGCATGCACATTTCTGTCTATTATATGTCTTTACATTTTAACAATACCAGTTAAAATGTATTGTTCCACTGGCAAATTATTCAGCAGAGACTGCTGTAAATACTAAGGGTAGTTAGCCACCGATAACTCTGAGCCGTTTCTCCGCCTTTACACATTTAGCAGCACATTCACAAGCATCATTGACAGCGTTAAGACCCTCCTCCTGGCTCTGATCGGTTGTTTTTGACTGGCGGCAGTAAATTTCTTCAGCACAGGGAGGAAGGAAGTGGAGGAGATCAATTTTTATTTTTATTCAACTAAAAATACCCCAGAAGTATTTTTTTTAAAAACAAAAAAGTTACTCAAGTAAATGTAATTGAGTAAATGTAACTAGTTAGTACCAACTCTGCTCCTGGAAGCATAAACGAGATAATCACCAAATGCTGACAGACCTTTAATTCATCATCGGCCTTCAATTCTTCCAGTTTCCACCTGTATTCATCATACAATGGGACAAATCTTCCCTCTCTGCCTTTATCTGTTAATTTCACCGACTCCTTCCTCTCCATCACTCATCTGAACTCCTCACTGCAGCGTAAACAGCAGCTGCTAAAGCCGACACAAACAGCTGCATCAGATGACTGAGAGCTGACTGTTACCTGAACACATCTGCATGTTGATGAGGAAACATTACAGCCGTCTCTCAGCTGTTGCTCTGCTCGCTACATCACGTCTCCTCCAGCCTCCCTGTGTTCCTTCTGGCTCCATTAGTTAGCCTGATGGATGACGAGGCTGGGGGGAAGCGACGGGAAATCCACGTCGCCGCTGCTTTTTCTGATTCTGATCAGAGTCTCTGCCGCTGTCGGGTTGACAGAGTGGACAGCAGGTTGTACGTCGACATGGCAGGTTGAAACGCGCCGCGCTCGTTCAGCTGACAACAAACCTGAGCTTTACACCAGACTACAATAAAATGAGGATTTATTAAGTTACCTTAAATAGAGCTGTTGTAAATTTAATTAAAAATGTACATCTTAGGGTGTTTTAAAGGATGTGCCACATCCTTGCCACATTTCAACGATGTGGCAGTACTAGTTCCTCTGGCAGATTGTTTAATTTAAAGCAAGACATTTTTCCCATATTAGAAGTGAAACAATCTGCCAGTAGAATTAGTACGTTTTAATCAATATTAAGGAATTATTTTCTCACAACAAGCTCTTTTACCTTGCTCAAAACATACTTGTTAGTTTTGTCTTATTTCAACTGTACTAAGATATTTGTACTAGAAATTACACCAAAATGTAACTATACAAAATGCAAGTAGTTAATATTACCCAACTCTGCAAAAACAACCGTTCATACACTCAAACCTAAAAGCAATCAGAGCAACCAGTTAACCTAACCGTTTTGTTTTTGGACCTTGGGACGAAGTCAGAGTACTCAGAGAAAACCCACATATTCATGGGGACTAAAAGCAAAAACCCACGACTTTCTTGCTACAAGGCAACAGTGCTAAGAACAACACAACCATGCAGCCTACTCGGTCTTTTCTCAATCTGTCCTGCAAGAAAAAACAATCCTAATTTCACATTCAACTCAGACAAACTAGTGAAATGTATAATTCTCCAACTATAATGACAGTCTCTTCAGATAAAGCTAAAATAAATGGGCGATACCCTTTAAAGCGACAGACTGGCTGAAGGCTGCGGCCTCTCAGCCCCTCATGTTATTTGCAACTTATATTTCAGACGCTCTTTGAAGGAGCCGCTTAAAGGAAACATGAATAAATCATGACGTGGTCCCTATTACTCTTGTCACCCTGAGCCTTTTACAATTCCCTGTCTACGAATGCACATTTAGGTGGATAAATCATAGCAAAGACACCACACATTCCCGACTCTTTCCAATAATGCAAAGAAATAAACACTTATGCACATGTGAGAAGTACAAAAATCCAAATTCTCTAAATACATCGCCCAGAGGCTAGACACAATGCTTTCTATTTTTTTATTTTGCGAGGGCAATAAGTGCAAAACAGAGTGGCATAAAGATTTCACCAGCATCTAAAACGATGCCCAAGCTTTTAAAAGTCCATTATGAAATACATTACAGCATTTTGCTAGACCTGGAAGGTGTGGCGATGTTTCAGCTGAAGCCAACACATGGATTGTTGCTTTTAAAAAGCATTTAAACAGCATTCATCAAAAACTTGTTTACTCAGTGATCCAACAGAGCTGATGCATTTTCGGCATGTGGAAATGGGCGACAACCTCACATTTTTACTTCCTGCGTCACGATTTCCATTCAGCTTGGCACCAATATGGTGCAACAAACTGCAGAAATACAAAATTTCACCAAATATTTGGTGTTTGAGTCCATCTGAAAAAAGACAAAACTAACTTATAAGTAACTTTTCAGGAAGATATGATGTTGTTTTAAGTCAATATTGATGAAAAAGTACTAGTTATAAGTAAAATAATCTGCCAGTGGAACAATAATATAAATTAAAAAATTTAAAATGTTTAGCTTATGGTATGTTTCAGCAATATTAAGGAATGTTTTACTTAAAATAAACTAATTTCTTGCTGAAAAGTTACTTGCAAGTTATTTTTATCTCATTTCAAACGTACTAAGATATTTGTACTAGAAATGAACAACAAATACTTGGTAAGATTTTGTGTTTTTTCAGTGCACAGAATAGAAGTGCCATGTTTCTACAATGCAGCATGTAAGTGGTAAAAATGGGGGTAAAATCAGACTCATCTGCTGCAGTTTCACAACGACTAAAATCTATAGAAACACAATCTTTTATTAATATGGAATTAATAATCAATTTTCACCCTAAACTGCAGGGATTTAAGCATTCCTGTTTTCATTATGAATGCATTTTAAATTGTTTATTTAACCTCAGACATAAATTCTGGTTTTTCTCTTATATTGGATAAACTCTACTGGCTAAGACTTTTTGCTACCATCACACAGTCTCTCTTTTAGCCATGTGCATCGTTCTGCAGCGTGGGGAGTTGAGGTCTGGAAATAGTTTGCAAGAACCAAGAGAATTGATCTTTTACTTTAAGACTAAAAATCTTTCTGGCCAAGGCAATGCATTGTGAAGAACTCCCAGAAAGTCCTCATCGGTCCAGCGCAGTAACCAGGTCCATTTTAAATTATGACAAGTCATCAAATATTTGCTAGACATGACACAAAGAAAAGCTTTGTACAGAGCAGAGCTGCCAGAACAGAAAGGCGTCCTTTTGTTTCTCCAGGCATCTGGGAACGTTTTCTTGTTTTTTCATAGAATGAGTCGGCTTTCACTGAAGATTAATTATTTAAAATTCACCCATCTCTGTTAAATATGTTTATTTTCATTCTTCTTTTGAGCTAATTTTCACCTATAAAAGTGGTTTTCAGCTTGATTGAACAAACGCAGAAAGGTTTTTGAGGGTTTTAGAGTATTGGAAAATTGTCAAAAAGTGTAAGTCATGAAAAGAACCCAAGTGCAGAAGGTACATTGTCCAAATGAGCTGCTGTGTACTACAATGGAGAAATAGGGCCTTACTAAGAAAAAAAACAGAATAAAGTCATAAAAATATGAGAACAAAATCAAAATTATATGAGAATAAAGTTGTAAGCATACCAGAAAAGTCATAACATTAACAGAATAAAGTCGTAATGTTAAGTATGCTTGTATTATTTCTTTATTGTTCTAATTTTGACTTTATTCTCGTAGTTTTATTACTTTATTCTCAGAGTTTATTTTATTTTATGAGTGTGGTCCTAATACTCAATCACTGTTTACAAACTGGAGTGGTGCAAAAAAAAAGTTTTTCCATTGCAGTTTTTCAAAATCCACAAATCTCTTATAACGCAAAAACTTGCAATGGAAAAAAACATATATTTATTTTAACATTTCTGTGTTTCCATTAAGGAAATTTATCATTGTAACTCCAGTTTGTGCAATTTTAAGGTCAAAGGAAACACAGAGATGAACTGGGACTCAGAGAAATTATAAACCAGGTGAAAACTAACAAACTACTCAAAGAAAACTAAATCCTATGCAGAAGTAACTAATAAATAAACTAACAAAATAATAAACTAACATGGCAAGCTCTAAGAAAATTTAAAAAAAATGACAAAGAATCAGCAAAAATTTTACTTTCTTTCATTCTTACTGCATTTTTGTTCACTGTTGTAAAAACATCTGAACAAAAAAGGAAGAACTGAGTCAAGAAGAAAGAAATGTTCTCTATAAATCATGTTTAGAGGGCTTTTCTGCCACAGAATGACTTGACACACTCCCTCCTCACACTCTCCAGTGACTCCAGCATGGAGTTTATGACACGCTGTTGCCGGGTAGATAAGCTTGTTGCTTCGTGACCAGAGTGTTAAACGGTTCCAAGGACTGGCCCCCAGGTGAGAGAGGAGTTTTATGTGACCCTGTCTTGTAATGTATATGTTATGTTTTTAGTTTTAATAAATGAAAAAAATCCTGTGTTTTGTATAAACTTGTATGTATTTGTTTGGTCAAGGATTGTACACACAGTCTAGGACTTCAGGAAATCTGGTCGTGGAGCAGAAGTTAAATTATCTGCACAATCTGCACTGCAAAAATATTACCAAGTATCTTCAGTCTAACATCTAGTGCAAATATCTTACAAGTTACTTTCGGGAAGATATGGATGCTTGTTTTAAGTCAATAATTCATTAATATTGATAAATAAAGTTGCATTGGAAGAAAGCACTTGAAACATTTTTCCCACGTTCTGCCAGTGAAAGTAGAACTTTTTCATCAATATTTAAGAATTATTGACTTAAAGCTCCTATTGCTTGCTGAAACATTACTTACAGGTTATTTTTTATATATTTTAAGTGTGATAAGATACTTGCACTAAAAACTAAGCAAAAATACTTCATAATATTTTGGTTTTGCATTGTAGGACTTTAATCAGGCATGTCTGCTTGGTAATCAGGTCAGGAAACAGGTACTTTTTTATTATAGTATTATAATCTTGACTCAAACCATTTTATAGTCCTTCCTGTACATTAGTACTTCACATATGTCCTGGTCTGGTCGCCTTCCCCACCTGCTCTGAACCCATAATGCAGCAGATGCGAGACATTTTGCTCTGAAGGCAACAACTGAGACCTGAGAGTTATCTAATAATATGGAGCAGAAATGTACTTTTTAAAGACTCTAAAAGTTCTGAGCTCTAACTCTGCTGTAACTTTTGGAAAAGCACAACATATTTGACCGTTTTCATTTCCATGGCACCAGGTGGTTTCTTCAAAGACTCATTGCTGGTTGTAGCGATAAGGATGGAAGTCGATTCACAACAACAGTTTCTTCAGAACAAAAAGAAATTTCTGAGCAACTATTTTTTTATCAAACTGCAAGAAATTATTAAATACTGTTGATTTTTAATCATTAGAGAAAATATAATATAAAAGAAATCAGCACCAGCTGTTCTAAAGTAGACTTTTAGCATTTTTTTGTGTGCAGTAACAATGCATTTAGTCCATCTTTTTCCTTTTATTCTTGTGAAAGTGGACCTGCTGAGTGTTGGAGGAGAGCGAACAAGTCTGAGTGCTTTAAAGCCAAAAATATCTACTTTCTGCTCTCACTGCCTCCTCACTTACCATGCACTTTGCCCAACACCAGCGACTTGATGGCATTAAACTCTCCGTCAGACGTGAGGTTGAAGTCTTCTCTGGCATTTTGATCAACCTAATGGAAAAAAAAAGAGATTTGAATTTAGTTTTTATGTGTATTTTTCATAAACCTTTCTGTATGTGCACACTGCAAAAACACAAAATCTTGTTTTTGATCTTGTTTCGGTGCTACAAAACTCTGCTTATTTCAAGTTTACCAAGATATTTCCACTGGAAACTAAAAAAAAAAAAAAAAAAACTTAGTAAGATTTTGTGTTTTTACAGTGCAGTTTAATGGCTTCAACTCAACAAAACTAAATTTATAATTAATAATCATTCCAGAAGTTTCCTGGGAAAATTATCTTGAGAAAATGCTTCTCAAGAGTTTCATGCTAAGTTAAAAAATGAGGGATAATTTTATTTTCCCCGTTTTAACTAAGTGGAAATCAAACATTCATAATTTTCCAGCATGACATGTAAATTAACACTTAATTAGGTTATCAAAGTTTGAAAGATCTTTAACTGAAAATTTGCTTATTCTGAGACTGCTAAGAAATTTTACTGATTTTTTTTTTTGTTGGTTTCTTTAACTTGGCTTGAAATCTTAAGATTCTCAGCTATGAAAAGATCCATAAGAAGTTTTTAAAATCAACTTTCAGATGTGATGTGAAGCACAGAAAGCATTGTACTTTGATTTTACGAATTCCCAGCCACACCTGCATTGTAAGAGCTGTCAGAAAATGAAAAGTGTATTTCATGTGAAGCCATTACTGTCGAGGCTAGTGACACTTTTTGATCTGTGCTTCTTCAAAATGACCATTAAGACACACATCTAAATACCAACATGACATGTTTAGTGTCAGGACAAAGCCTGTTTGTTTCTACCAACACAAACTTTAAAATAGGAACTTTTCTATACTCTAATTGAGCTTTTTGTTAACAAAAAAGCAGATTGGTCTGGACTAAAACAAAGGATCAATGTCTGGGAAAGCACCCAATGCCCACTGTTGAGTATGGTGATGGAGGCGTGATGCTGTGGGCCTGTTTCTTCCGGACCTACTGTTTTGTTTTGTTTTTTCACACTACGCTATCTGTCATAACTTCTCATGTGAAATGGCTTCATCTTTGTAGATAAAATTCTGTGTTAAAATTCTTTAATATCAAATCATCAAACAGTAAGTCTTGAAACTCACTTCTGATTCTTTGCTGAAATGCTTTTTTTATTTTTTCATGGTGGTTCATACTAACAATTAAATGGAACATTTTAAAGTGCAGTTTTTCTTTTCATGTGCTTGTTTTTTATTTTATTTTGTTGTCTTTGCTTTTCTTCTAATTCATGCAAAGCACTTTGAACTGCTTGTTGCTGAAAAAGTGCTATATAAATAAAATTTCTTCATAATAATAATAATTAATGAAACACTGACCAACATCTTCATATGAAATGATGTCACTTGACGAAACGTAATATCTCAATTATTGACCGTCTTCTATGACTTTGTATGTTTGTGTTTTTATCATGTAAAGCACTTTGAACTGCTGGATGCTGAAATGTGTGATACAAATAAACGTGATTGATTGATTAACTCATGCAGTAAATGTGTTAAATCCTGTTTAAAGTTTAACTAGATTATTACAAGCAAGGCCTCTTACAGCCAGTTGAACAAAGCTTGTTTTACTTTACCGTTACCGGATTTATTTGACCACCTCCATGTTTCCTGGTACGTTTATACTTAGCAGTCTGAACATGAAGCGCTCCTTACGTTGAGGCCAGGACTTTATTTTCCGCTCCCTGTCAGTCTGATGTACTGCTTTCCAGCCGTAATGAAACACCGTCTGTAAAACCCAAAAGAATCGCGAACAAAGGGAGCCCCGATAAGAGCCAGAACCCGGCGATCCGACATTCTGCTGGAGCGATTTCGCCTTTACTGGGTCATTTTTCATGAGGTCAGGGCGGTGGAGATGATTATGTCCACTTGAGAGACTGCTGGCCATCAGGAAATGGCTGCATGAAACCCCGCCCTGCTTCCTCAGAGCGCGTTGATAACAAAGCAATGATTCATGATGATGGAAGCAGACAAAACGAAGCGCACTTCATATTTCACTGCAGCCTCACACGCGGCGAATCAGGATGAGGTCACCTTGTATTTTATCTCACATTGTTTATAATTAAAGAGACATTCCAGCTACTGACTCCTGGTTGTAAGTGCCATCCTCATACATCAAACCCGGCTGCTGCGAACAAGCTGGGAGAGTTGTTGGATCCAGATAAGATTACCGTGCTTCATATTTCATTTGAAGTGTAATTTAATTAGTTGGTTGATGTATTTTGTTCCCTTAAGGCCTGCAGTCATAACATAAAACAATCCTATGCTGGTTTTGGGGATTGCTAAGAAGGACTTCAGTCCAGGACGGCAGGTTGCTTTTTAGCAGCTCAGACAGCAACATCATGTCACTACGCTGCAAAAACACAAAAGAGAAAGATTGTCTCTAGTTTCTAGAGAAAATATCTGAATATACTTGAATTAAGTTAAAGCAAAACATTTTCCCCTCTTGTAAATGAAATAATCTGCCAATGAAACAAATAAATATCAATATCAAGGATTTACTGACCATAAACAAACTCCTGTATCTTGCTGAAAATTTACTTACAAGTTAGTTTTGTCTCATTTCAAATGTATTAAGATATTTGCACAACAAACTAGACAAAAAATACTTTGTAAGATTTTGTGTTTCAGCAGGATTTAGGCGCTTAATAATTACTATTATTCACCGAATTTAACTTGATTGTACATAATTACAAAAAGGTGACGTGAAAAATAATTAAATTCAAAGCTTTATTTATGATTTATTTTGGAGAGAGAAAGTCTTTTATTTTGAAGAATGCTTAACAGGATCTAGTTTTGTCTTTTGCCATTACCTAGCCTTCTGTTGATTTCGGTTGCTTGGTTACGAACAGCCGTTGCCGTTGTTCAGCAAGTGTACCGTTAAAATCTGAACAGAAACTGGTCAGCAAATACGTCTGAGCCTCCATTATAATCTCCCTTTAGCCATTTCCCGAATCAGAAGCTACAATCGGAAGCCAACTTGAACTTCGATCCAGACAGTCAGGAACGCCGCTACAGCTAGAGGACCGGACTGACGTTTCCTTCTGTGCAGTCCCGTTCTGTTTAGGATCTTGTCAGAGTACGCATGCTATTAATGGTTTTAACCACAGTGCAAAGCAGCATCCGTATCTCTACATGTTGTAGACCAAACATGAAAGGAAACCTGACTAATTCATGTAAGTCACTATACTAGCCTAGCATAATACCGCCACTTCCTGGACATAAAATTATCACGTTTAAACAAGACACTATCACGTTTTAACAAAATATGTATCACATTTAAACAAGATACGCATCACGTTTACACAAGATACGTATCACGTCATAACGTGATAGCGCTTGATTTTTTTCCCCCCTGCGTGATAGCAATCCGCTTCCGTAGAAAACATACTTGTTCAAGAAAATAAATATTTTGTAGCGATTATACAGCGACCAGATGTCTGCATTAAGAACAAGAGATACAAAAAGTCATATGGAGAAGAAAGAAATCCATAGAAATCTTAACAATATTTCATGTTTATTATGAAAAATAAACACCAACATAAATTTAGATCGCTATTTTCTTTAAAGAAATGTAATTTCGTCTTGGAGAATGAAAAAAAAAATGTTTGTTTACCAAATCCTCTGTGCCTCCCACCGAACCACCCACACAATATATAATTTCAGCTAAGAGTATTTTATTATTCTCCACTTTAAAAAAGACATCACTAATATCTTTGTGAGGTAAACATCTTATTTTGCATAATACAAAGGTCAGAAACATGCATTAATGATAAACTACCTCCTCTCTCTCACATGCATAGGCTTCATGAATAAAAACATATTTTAATGTCTTACGTTTTAAAGAATTCTTTACATAAGTTTTAATTTAACAATCTCTGATGTTGCAGGTATATTAAATGGTGTGTTTTCCTCTAGTCGTATTTGTGAAAGGTCAAAATGTGGATTTTCATTTTTTTCTCCAACAATAAAGTGAAACTCTTGTCTCGTTGCCATGGAGACCACATCATATATTTTCTCGTCTCATCTCGTCTGAATGCCTTATAGCACTCCAACTCCACACTAATGATGAAGCTGATAGCAACAATTAAGCCTGTGGTTCAGTATGCTGGGTGAGACAGAAACGCACCGAGCTTCGACTGGTTTTATTCTGTATATTAAAAACAGATGCAAATTGTAATCATGCTCCATTTTTTTTTATCAAACTTGACATTTTAAGACAACCTTTCAGTGGAGGGTTATTCACCAGAAAATGACAATAGTTTATCGGTGTGTGCAGATCATTAAAGAGATCAGAGCTACGGGGCAGTAGCACTGGTTCTACTGGCAGATTATTTCACCTTTAATTGGGAAAAATGTCTGGTTATAAGTGACCAACAGATTCCTTAATGTTCATGAACATTAAGGAATTATTGACTTAAAACAAACTACTATGTTTTGCTGAAAAGTTACTTGTAAGTTAGTTTTGTCTTATTTTAAGCGTCAAATGACATTTGCATTAGAAACCAAACCAAAACTCCTCGGTAGAATGTTGTGTTTTTGCAGATTAAGCCTCTCCTGAGTGCACGGCTACCTGCACAGACACCATGTGTGTCGTTCTCCTGATGGTAATGCTGTGCAGTTGCCCATTGGCCAGGTTCCTCGCGCTGCTGCTCCTCAACACGTCAGCGTCTCGGTTGCCCTCCAGCTTGTATCTCACCTCCAGCTTATCTGAACACACAAAAAAAGTTTATTTTTTTCCTCCTCAATTTAAACTTGTTGGTGAAAATAGCCTCGTCTTTGTTCTTTAATCTCTTCACCTCTGTCTGCAGATGCCCTTTTCACCTCAGCAATGAATCAGAACGATGAGCATCTGAGGTAATAACGCTTTTCATGCTAAGAGGATTAGTTGTAAGTCCCTATTTATGAAATAACTCTAAATCTAATTAATTTTTTATAATATTGAGAGAATTAGGAGTGAACACAATGGAAGAAGCATTTCTGGAGGCTTTAAGATTAGAAAGGATGAATTGCACCTTGTCCTTGTAATGCGCACATGTTTACTTTATTACAATTTTTATTATGATTAATCCCATTACAAACAGTTCAGGATTAAGATTTACTGAAGTTTTTCTTCACAGTTTAGAGAGAAGAAATCACTGTTTGTCACAGCGAAGGGAAAAAATGGAGGAAATTTTTTGTCCTGGATAAAAAATGGTTAAAAACGGTGCAGAGGAAGTGAAAGAAAGCGCTTAGGGATTTACATGGACACTTTCTATTAAAAGCCTTTACCTGGTGAATCCGCGGCCGGCGCAGAACCTTAATGCCCTGCTTCCTATTAGCTTTCTGAGCCATTAGGACCAGGGAAAGAATCTATTTAAAGCTAATCTAGGTGCAAAGTGCCAATTTTCCAAGACTCCTGGATGCTGAAAATGTAATTCTAAGTTCAAAGTTTTACTACTTCAACTCTTAAAAGGCACAACTTAATTATCCAACAAAGTTTGTGGCTGTTTTATTCAACATTTCCCTGATCTATCACCTATTAGCAGCAGAACAATGTCCCATTTCTGCAGCACTGTTTACGACGTCTCTGATAAAAGCACAACATAACAGGTGGTGAAGCTGTACTGATGAAAACCAGCAGGGGTTAATGAGGTAAACCCAGATGGGGGGGAAGATCTGAAAGATTCCTGAGGAAATAACAAGAGTGCAGAAAGAGGGTAAGACATTAAAGGAGGAGATGAGAAAACTTGAGTGGGAGAAAAGGAGAGGAAGCTGAGAAATTCAGAAAATCAGCTGTTGGACGACGAGCATCTTTTGATGAAAAGGATCCAAAGATTTACCCACTAAAATCTGATTTTATTTAGACATAAATATAACATCACAAAAACTAATTCCTACCAAGTAGTTTTGGTCTAGTTTTTAGTACAATGTATTCGAGTCTATTAGTACATTGAAATAAGACCAAAAAAAACTGAAATACTTGTTCAATTGGCATTCACTTATAACATGAGGAAAATGTCCTGTTATGAGTGAAATACGGTAATCTGCCACTGCAACTAACACCTTTTCATCAAGGTTAAGGAATTACTGACTTAAACAAGCTGCTATATTTTGCTGAAAAGTCACTATTAAGTTAGTTTAGTCTTTTTTCCAAGTGCACTGATTGCAGTTTTCTGGCTGATCGCAGATTACCGATTTTTAAAAAGCCTGATCTGCCGATTCTGATTTTGGCCTATATCAAGTTTTTTTTCTCTGAAATGTTGCTCAATATAGCAAGAAAGCCACTGAGTTGACAACAGTGGGGTATCAACTGCAAACATGCAGACATGACCTGGTGGGCCGGTCGGTCAGTCAAACCTCTCGCTGCAGAGCAAAAAAGGACAGTGGACCATTTTTCAACCTTTGCTGAGGTAGATCGGCTTCACATGTAAGAATCGGCCGATAAATGTTCTCTCAAAATTAAAAAAACTGTTGCACCCTTACTACCAATTTGCAGAGGAAATTAGACCAAAACTCCTTGGTAATATTTAGTGTTTTTGCAGAGGAAGCTTTCTCACCATGCTTGTTGATGAGCACAGCCAGGAACTCTCTGTAGTAAGAGCCGACGTAAAGCAGCAGAGCCGGGCTCTGAGCCGTCCTGAAACCCATGGAGATGTTTTCTCCTCTCAGCGTCGTGTCGGAGTAGATGGAGGACGGCAGAGCGCTGCTGTTTCTGGTCAACTCGTACGGCTCCTTGAAGGTGTATCTGACCGACGTTCCAGGTTTGAAACTGGCTGACAGCTCTACAAGGGAAACAGATTATAATCCATCACTGTTGGAGAGAAGAAAATTGTCTTGAAACTCTGGCAGTGACTGAACCTGCTGAACCCAAACAGAGTTCACTGTGGCGGCACTTTTCTTCTGAAACAGGATTATGATTCACTAAACCTTTGATTTCATGTGGTATCCAAATGCTTTCAAATGAGAGTTAAGTGTTGCAAACACAGAAAAAGGTATTGTGGAAATATGTAGAAGCTTAACCTTTAAAACACCCACACACTGAAGCTGAGAACAAAACCTGTCATGGTTTAAAAACATGAAACACTGCTCAAGTTTTCCTCATGATTTATAACACACAACGTTTACTATCCTTTCAAACAACGTGGGAGAGCCCAGAAGTTGACTTCACACTTCTAATTAGGTTATTTGATGTAAATAGAGAAAGCTGTGGGTCACTTTTAAGAAAACATGTCAAATGCAGTGTTTCCTTGTGTGACATCATGGGAAAACCAGCCAAAATAACAAAACCAGTCAGTTTTATCCTTGGTTCCAACTTCCAGGAAGCTCAATTATTTCTTCACATTTAATTTTAACAAAAACAAACAGATGTAGTTTCAAAAAATATGCTAACATGAAACTTTCTTATCCACAGCAAGTGCAAAGGAAATGAAAGATGCCTTCTGTGCTGGAGACATTTTACAGGAACGTAACAAGCTACAAATATTCACACAATTAATCTAAATGTTGATTCGCAGATTAGTTTCTAATATTCTTTTGATCTTCTGTTGAATTGTACACAATGAATATCAGAAGACTCTTGGAAATGTTTTAATGTTATTAAGAGTTTATATTTTAACCAGAGTCTTGTCAGAGTTAGTGTGGCTGAAGCATTTCCTCCAATATGAGTATCTGAGTTGTTTTCAAACTCTCAATGTTCCTTATTGATCAACAAAAGTTAAAGCCTCCAGCTGTAATCAGAGCATCGAGAAGAGTTCAGATCTCTGCATAAGATGTGAATAATTATCCAATAGATAAGATTTTTCCAGATTTATCCACTTAACTAAATAAACAGATTTAAAAAGAATGTGTTTGAGCCCCTTTAATGGCTTTAGTTTTCTAAAGAATTTAATAAAATGGTTGAGTTTTTCTGATTTGCGTCGCTTCAGGTTGCAGTGTGAACGTAGCCAAAATGTCCTGGTGCAAAATACTTTAAAATATAAAAAGCAGTAAATTAAAAAATAAAAAAATAAATAAAAATGTTGATTCACAGATTAACAAAACAAATAAAAAGACGCTGACTCAAATACAATAACCTCAGGACAAGCTTTAAAAATAATTTAAATTAAAACTGAATTTGTCACTTATGGCAACTAACTGGTGTTTTATTTGTTTTGGTTTTGTTCCAGTTAGAAAGCAGACCAATATGTTTATAGCTTCATGTTTTAGACATTTATTCCCAGTTTTATTTAACATGGTCTCACCTGTCTGGCAGAAGACTCCAGTGTAAGCCGACAGGCTGCAGTCGCAGTGGAAGCCAGTGGCTCTCTCCACACAGCGGCCCTGGTTCTGGCACAGCGAGCCGTAGCTGCTGCAGTGACCCGGGCAGCCTGGCTGAACGCCGGGCGTCATCTCTGCCCTCTCCTCCAGGTCCAGAGTAACACCGTTCAGCTGCAGAGCGCGGATGCAGCCTCTGAAACCCCTCTGCCTGGACGCCGTGCCTCCTGCAAACACCGGAGGAGAGAAGTCGGTGTAAGTGGCTCAGCCGTGTGAAATTGGAAAATAAGGACAAAAGCACGTTTGAGCTACTTTTCCCGTCTGTCATCTTTGCTCAAGAGTCTCAATTATTGCTACCTGAGCTGAAAAGCCTGAATTTTTCTTCCCCTGTGGTTTTCTATTTATTCCACCTGACATTTACAACAAACCCACATGTCACATCAGCTCCTCCAGAAGCATCAAATTGTCAAATATGAACACAGAAATAGCAGCAGGCTGTAGGTGGAAAGGTGCATTCAAAGACAACACTAATCTGCTTTCGTTACGTCTGTCTATCGCATCTTTTCAGCTGCAGACGGGTTCATCAGGAGAATGGAAACCACCAAGAATTCATGCCTTCTGCTTTTTTACCAGTTCAACACATTTTCTACAACATTTCTGTTTCCCTCTAACAATTGTTTACATTTGTTTCAGAACTGACACAAATCATTAAGCACATTTTCAAACTTGACAAACTTCATGCTAACACTGACTGCATCTAAAGGCTCATATTTTTAAGTGGAAAATAACAGATTAATGGTCCTAACAATAATGAAAATGTTCTACTTTGCAGAACTTAATGAAAAATAGACTTATGATAAGAAAATAGGACAATAATGCTTTCAATTAGTGCAGTTTTGCCATTCACTGCAAAATCACAAAACATTAAGGTGTTTTTGTCTCGTTTCTAGTCCAAAACACAAAACTAACTTACAAGTAACTTTTCTGCAAGATAAAAGAGCTTGTTTTAAATCTATAATTCTTCATACCTGCAGATTATTTCATTTATAACATTGTGTCTTGTTATAAGTGAAATTATTTGTCTGTGATCTAGAACTTTTCATTACCTTACATTTCATTATTTGTAAATTAATTTAATTTTATTTCAAGTGTACTAAAACATACTTGGTATGATTTTGTGTTTTGTTCTTGAAACAAAAATGATTATTTTTACTTTGTTGAAAAGGTTAAACTGCCATAGATGAGCTAGTAAGATAGCTTACATAAAAACAAACATTTAATTCACAAAAATGTATTTATATACAAGCTTCTTGCTGGTTACAACTGTAAACATTTAAGTGTTTAAAGTAAATATTTAAGCAACCAATGTTTTAAAAGCATGTTTCATTTACTTCTTTATTTGCTTTTCTGAAATAAGACCAATAAAAAGGTCAACTTTATCTGGAAAGGGGGAAGTTATGACAAATAGACATTAATAAAACCAGCAGTTTCCACCAGTGTATTATAAGCCTGGCGGCCCACCATGCTTTACTAGCCTCGCCGCCAGGCTAAGCGTTGCTTGTTTGCGTTTCAAGGGGAAAAAAATTGCCTTAAAAAAATAAAAATAAAAAATAAAAAAAGCCAGGCTGCAAGCGTCTCTGTTACTCTGAGCATTTCACTAGCAGAGCAGATTTATCCTTAAGGATAGGTTTATAATAGATAGGTTTCTAGTTTATGCATTTAAAGCCGACAGCGCGTGAACTAACCACACAGCTGGCGCCTCTGCGCTTTGCCTCGCGCGCTGCCGCTGCTTTACCTCAGCGCGAATCTCGCGCGCGCCTCCTTTCACTGAAACTGGACACAGGCTGACCTGTATGGATATTTACATCAACTTACTGTGAGGAATTATGATCCTCTGGAGAAACTCTAGGTAAGAGTTTAAAACCCGCTGCGTTAGCTCTGGTTGCCCATCTCTATGTGAATAACTTGTAGTGAATTCAGAGGCGCGTTGTGGAGCGGTGAGAATGATTTATCTTTGTGAACGAACAATTATATGCGGCGTTTACATCTCAACACGCTGCCCAGCGTGTGGCTCTGTGTCTGTCTTCCCTGTAAAGTTTATGTCTGTGGTCCCGGTTGGCCGGAGAGTTAGTGGATAACGAGCAGCGCTAACCTGATCATGCAGGTTCAGCCCGTTGAGGAGCTTTAACGCTCTCTCCTCGGAGTCACGCATCACGCTGATTTTATATTATTTTAGTATTATTTTTAGTATTATTTTTCCGGTTACACGATGCATCAAACCATATCAAATGCGTTGTAAACTTAGAGTTAATGCGCGCGGCCGCACAGAGATCGGAGAAACTCGTCCCATAAACTCGACCAACCAGAATAGTTTCTGTGACAATTAAAAACTCAACAGACACGAAATGGAAGAGCTACTAAAGCCAAATCTCCCATTTGTTGCGCATCTCTGCACAGTGCAGCGGATTTACTCATTGTGCAGGGCCGGTCCAAGGCTGCATGAGGCCTTGTGCAGACTTTGACTTAGGGGCCACTCAACCTGCTAAAATCATAAGCACCTCTAACAGCTTCTGTGTTAGAGTTAGTGAAATATGGCAGAAGGGAGTAGTTTAATTGGCCAGCCTAAAAAGCAATAAGTTATAATCGCAGTTTACTAATTTGTATTTGTAAATTCAAAGACTTAACTCACAGCATCAGATTGTTGCTATGGTAACAAAACAATCAAAGTATGAATATTGTTCATTGAAGCTTTACAAAGTAAACTTGCCAGCTCCTTAAAATCTTGTATTTAAATGTTAAACAATTTAAAATCATTTAATTTATGTATGCCTAAACAATTGAATCAAATTTAACAGCATTGATCATCTCAATAAACAAGCGTTACATTTATGTATCTGTGGTCCGTTTTAAAATATTAGCGTTTATGGGGCCCCTGAAGCCCTGATGGAGCCGCTGACTTAATTTGGATTAAACAGAAGTGCAAATTTGTTGTTTTTAGACTAGTTGTGGGTTTAAATAGCATTTCACTGGAGATCTTTTTCTGTAACATATAATTGCACAGTAATACTTTGATATTTTCCGTCAACTTAACATCTTTTAATACAAAAACACGATAGACCGCCGGTGGACCGCCTCGACGCCCCCACCACTGGGCTTAGCAAGTTTTCTGGAGGAAACCCTGAACAGGTATAAAAATCACAGTAACATGTACATAAGTCCAACTCTGATGAGAGAAGGATGTGTGAGAATTTCACAGGTGAACAATTTATGATCCAAGAAGAGAAGCTCAGTTACTGTCCATGAGTTTATATGGGAAAGTGCACCCTGCTCTGGAGCACAAAACTGGAGTGAAACTGAAAAGAAAAAAATAAAGAGTAAGCAAAACGAAGGCCAACGTATCAACAGTTACCCTTCAAAAGCAAACAACCTCCACCTGCAGATTTAGAAAGTATAAAACTGAGGAATGAACTGAGTGGAAATCAATGGAAGGAAAAAAAAAACTCATGTTTTGCTCAGAGCAAAACATGAGTCACTAAAGCGACAAAATATCCACAACAGCGAACAGATTGTTGAGCCAAATCTACTTGGTGTGGGTTAAAGTAACTTGTTTCGCTAAAAACAGTAAGCACAGTTTTAGAAAAAAAGTTTCATAAGACTTGCTTTAAGTTTTAAATGTAAATGCTGCTTAAAATGTTTGAAATGTTGTCAACTTCAGATAATGACAAAAATAATCAAGTAGCAAAAGGTTAAGACCTAAACTATTCATACCCCACATGAACCTGGATTTATGATGATTATCAACAAACACTGAGTTTTTATTTGAAAATTATTTAACAGAAAGGTCTTTAACAGCACTACAGCAAAGAAACTTCTTACACTGTATTTCCTGGAAAGCTGTTTGATTGTTTCCACAAGAATTTTAATTATTAATTTTTTTAGGTTAGCTCAGAGTTACTGAGTTCTGGACTGAGACTTGGCAGCTCCAAAACATAAACATCACAGTTTCAGTCAGAAAAAGAAGCAGCTTATAAAAGTTAAAACTAATTTTAGCCAAAAACAGCAGGTGCTTGGAAACAAACAGGCTGAAGAGAAAAGCAGAAGATACATTTTTACCTCATACATGCAGCCAGACATAATTACAGCTGGATACGATAAGTAGAAGCAGCACATTTAACAAATTATCACATGAGAGCATAAGTTTTAATCAGCACAAGTTTGACTAAAAGTTTGTTTAAATGTGTGAATAAAACATTTATTTGGATGTTTTCTTCCTGCTAAAACAAAGATGAGATAAAATGACATTTAAAGATTAGATTAGACATTTACCATTAAGGATGTCAAGTCATTTACTACTACTAATAAACATATTACTTTTGCTGGATAAAGCTTACAAATAATAAAGAAATACAAAATCAAATAATGCAACACATCACATGAAAACTCATTTATATACATTTTTATTTTTCATTTGTTACAAAAGTAAAGTAAAGCTTAAAAAAATTTAATATGAAAGCTGACATTCATATAGCTTACCTACAATAGCATCTAGTAGTGTGCAATAACAGCAAAACTGTCAAATTTTAAAACTGTATTTTTGATATTTTAAACCAAAAATGATAGTGTTTTAATCGAAACAAGGTTCAACAATCAAACCAAAGTCAGAGTAATGTTGCAGATCCAGATTTTGCTCTTTTATTTCTAGTCTGAGGAAAACGTGCAGCACTAAATATTTATTAGAAAGGTTTACTGGAGGTTGAAAAGAGAAGTTAACATTTCACCATGCAGGCCTAAACGTCTCTGTGTCCATGAAAATGTTCTACAGGAATACAAGCTGCTCTAAACCCGCTAAAGGCAGAATTATGGCTCATGAATGTGAATGCATACAATTCATGCCTGGTTGAGCATTAATATGGGTTATAAATATGTAAACACTGAGCTCTAAATGCTGCAATAAAACCCCAAAAAACATCTCAATCAACTTGATATCCAGACACATTTTCTCTCAAAGCAGATCTGATGAAGTCGTTAAATTGTCGTTTTTTAGGCTGCTGATGGCAACCTGCAGAATGTCCTATAAATACATTAATATTCCTCCATAATTTCACTGCTGCTCGCTTGTCCAATTTCACTGTTTGGTCCTTTTGCTTCAAGTTCGGATTCACTGATAAGAAGTGATGCCCAAAATATTTACTGATTGATTAAAACTGATAATGAATGATGGATTTTCATTACTTTTCGCTCCAAATCTATCAGCAGGATTGGGGAGCTCATGCAGAATGTGAAATGAACTGAGATAACCTGCAGTCCTCGTAAACCATGCAGCATCTCAGCGTCTTTGTACGGAATTTACATAACCATAAAAATACTGTAAACAACACGCAGGCTCCGATTTGTTTACATCCTGATGCGGTTTCCAGGCGGTAGGTTTTACTGCTGATCTGCTTGCACAGCTAATGAATCTGGATGTCATTTAGCAATCAGAAAGCTTCACCTCAGCACTTTCCTATTCACTGCGAACAGCTTCTGCTGCAAGCCAAACCACAGAAAAGCTCTGTACTATTAACAGGCTTAAACAGCACCGTCAAACAAAAAGATTCAACTCCCCAAGAAACATTTATAATCCTTTCAGAAACTTCTCTTTTTGGCTTGATATTGTTGGCTCGATAGAAATAAAAGAAAATCAGATTTTTCATCATAATGTCTTGCTTTGAGAAACCTTTAAAAATAAGTTTAACAACTTATAGGCTTTGGTAAATAAAAATCAACAGTAGTGAGTGATGTCGCAGCTGCATGACAAGGTGGTAAATTGTTCTCCTCGTAGTTTTTGACCAAAAATATGAGGACCAAATTAGTAAAAGAGCAATAAAAATTATAATTCTTTTCTGATGGAATTTAAATCTTTATGCAGATCAATTTTTTAAAACAAAATTTTAAAATGACTTTTCTTCCGTTTCTTCAACTGGTAAAATCTAACATCCGTTTTTTACGGTAATCTTTGTCCACTAATGAAGGCACACAGACACCACACAAAAAGTTTAACAGAAGACAATTTAAAAGGGAACATAAAAACAGAGAAGAAAGTAACCCTGTCATGATAATTGTGCTTTTTCTTTATTTTCCTTAAAATTTTATCATGTACTATGGGAAAGGGGGTTCTGTTTTTTTTCTTTTTTCTAGTTTTATTGTTCAATTTTTCTTTTCTTTGTTGAAAAAAAGGGCTGAAACTGCTGGATTGTAATTTTGTAATTTTTCTTTTTGTGCAATGTTTCATCAGTATTGTATTGAGTGCATTGATTAGTATGTGTGTACAGTGAGATGTGTATTATATATATTTTTTTTTTTTGCCTTCCTTTGTCTCTAATAAATAAAATTATCATATACTCACTAATAATGTAAAATTTGTAATCATTGTAGATACAAAACATAAAAAATTGTTTTGCACAATTGGGTTATCATAAGACAGACCCGCAGTTCCTGACTTTTGGGCTGAATGCGTTACATTTGAGTGAAAGTAGGTCAATGTTTGTGGTTCGAGTTACTCCAAACCTAAGATGAATGGAAAAAAGTTATTAGATGTAAATTTACCTCATATTTTTTTGTTTGCCTGTAAAACATCTTGCTCTCTAAGATGTAAAAGTGTCCATTTGCATCAACCACCTATGAGGTCAGGGGTCAAACAAAATCCTTCAGAGGGTCAGGAATGGCCTCAGGGCTGCACTTTGAACAACCCTGATCAATGATTACATTAAAGCATATAGGCCAAATTAAAGATAGTTTCAAAAGTAGTGAATAAAGAAAACCATTGAGTTTTTCCCGTAACTAAAAATCCTGTTAAATAAAATAGACTTAAATCAAACTGAATAGGAAAACATCTCAGTATGCAGGAAGCCTGAGAGGACAAAAGACATTTGCCTGTAAATTAATAGAATCAACGCTCCTCACCAATGAACAGCTGGCTGTTGAGCTGCAGGTGGACGTGTCCGTCAGCCGGCGCCTCCTGCGTCGCCACAGGCAGGTTGTCCAGTCGAAGCGACGCCTCCTTGATGTTTCGCTCGGCTCGGACTCGATGCCATCGGTTGTCATTCAACGGGACCGTCGACTCGACTTGAACTTCCAGTGGGCCATTACCAACGTCGAAGGAGAAAACCACCCGAGCAGACGCTTGATAAAGAAAAAAACGGACAGAAATATCAGACAGAATCTGTTATTTGGTTCTACAGAACGTCTTACTGCTTGAAGAAGTTGAACATAATCAAAGTAATCATGATGAGAAGTCAAACATTTGACATGTCAGCTTCATGTCTTACTCTAAAGAACAATCAGCCTTTTGTTTATTCAAACAGCAAACATCAATCTCAGTTAATGACAATTGGACTTCTGGGTTAAATCTCCATGATTCTGCTAAGAGGCAGATGGTTCTTTCCAAATACAGCTGGAATCAAGCCTCACTCATGTTTCCATATGGTTCCCTGTGCACGTCTGAAATGAGCCAATGCAATGAACGGGGAATTGAGACAGGAGCTGCAACATCCAGTGTAGAAAGACAAACAAGCAGACAGGGACAGCGTTGGCCTCTCTGGAATGAAATTTAATTACTCTATCACAACAAAACAACAATAAAGCCAACATGGCTTCTAACTAAGCAGAGTGGGAACAGTCCTCAAAGGATAGCAAACAAAAGAAGACCAATTTGGGGCCATGAGCTGATTACATAAAAAATAAATAAATAAAAAACACGTCTCATTTTTCCAGCCTGCCGTAATATTTGCCATATACTGCCAAGTTTAGCAGATCTGTTGGGATAAAGGAAGAAAAATGAGCAGGTAGTGAAAATGAAACCAGCTTATAAACTTTTTCCCTGTGGCATTTCACATTAATATGCATGACTTAATTTCTGAACTTATTTGCTTTGGTTTCTTTACACGTGTCAATTAATTGGGTTGTTATCAACAGCATCTTTAGTATGGCAGCCATTTGTAAAGTAATAAAACAGCAATAAATTGGTTTATTAGTCTGAGTGTTCATTTCTCAAAGTCATATTTTCACCTTATTATTCCTATTTTTATTAATCCAAACTAAATATTTAATTAAAAAGTCAGATATTTAGTTTAGAACACAATATTTAGCTTTCAAACTAAATATTTAGTTCCTAATTAAATGTTTAAGTTGGAACTAAATTTATTTATTTTGAAATCTAAATATTTACTTCCAAATAAAAGATTAGGACTCAATAATTATTTTGTAGTTTGTAAATATTTAGTTTTAACAAACATACAAATATATAATTTGAAGTAGTTTAAACTGAAACTACTTCAATATAAATAAATATTTATTTTAAAAATAAATATTTAGTTTGGAAGCTAAAAATTTAGTTTCAAACTAAATGTTTAACTCCGAGTTAAATATTTTGAAAACTAAATATCGAGTTCCAAATTAAATATGTACTTGGGAAGTAAATGTTGAATTTTCAAAGTAAACGTTTATCTTCCTAACTAAATATTAAATTTGAAAGTTAAATCTTTAGTTTGTAACATAAATATTTGTCTTGTGAATTAAATATTTAGTTTGGAACTCTGACATTTATGAAAATAGGAAAATATGACAGAAAAATGAACAGCTACATTTATTCTTCATGACAGGCTAATTAAACCAAATTAATGCTGTTTTTTTTTTACTGTGTAGTTTAGATAAACGTTTACTATGAGAATTGTGACGTATTCAAGACTCATTTAACCCGTTGTATGTCCATTAAAATAAGACGAAGAAACTCAGTTAAATAGAAGTGAGAATAGGAAAGTGGACTGGCAATAATGATTTTTAAAAAGTGCAGAAGAAAGATTATGCTGTCTAAATCTCAATCTAATCTTATTTGAATACTTAAAGTATAATTTAAGTGTTCATAATGTGAAAAATTGCATTTTTCATCCATTAGACTTAAAGCAGAAGCTGAATCTAATCTGTGCTGCTGAGTTTTCCTCTGCAGTCAGATTTCAGGACCACGGCCAGCTCCCCAGCCATCCTGCCCAGTTCCAGCACCACGGACAGCTCCGCTCGGCTACAAGTCTTTATTTACTTCCTCCAGGGTGTCTGCTGCACTCTATTTGTTTCCCCTATCAAAAGGGAGAAGATTTAAGAGAGTGCAGAGGAAGCGGACCGCCATCCCTCATGTTTTGCTGCTGGAAGTTGGGGATGTATTGCTTAGGGAGCGCAAAACAAGATGACAAAAATACCCCGGCATCCAGCGGTAACTTCATTTAGAAATTTGTTCCTTGGCCCCAGCTACAATGTTTCGGAGCAATCTGCTGGTGATGAAGAGGGAGGGGTTGGTATACAGAGGTGGAACAGCCAGACAGACAATGATTTCCCCTGAGAGGGATGTTAGGGGGTTGGTTTCCCTCAGCTGGATTTTTCTTCTTCTTCTGTTTGTCCTTTAAAGTCAACGACTTCCTCCAAAGTGAAACAAAAACATCTGCAAAATCTAACCCAAGCAACAACCCCCCACCCCCCACCCAAAAAAAAAACAAAAAACAGCTACATAAAAAATTTATGTAGCTTATTATTAAACTCACAAGAATAAGATGGGATGAGATTTTAAAATTACTTTAAAAAAAACTTCAAAGATCAAATTTAGGCTGCCAAAAGTTATTCATCCTGCGTTTTTTACTTATTTCTGACACGAACTCAAACTGAAATCTTTCTTTTTCCAAATTCCTTGTATGTCTTCACATCTTTGTATATTGTTTTGACTAAGCATGGTCTGCAATACAACATTTACCATTTCGCAGCTACTAATGATAGCATACCTGCAGCCAACGGTCGTCATAGCGACTCTTTCTGCCTCCTTCGACACCTGAACAACTTGCAATGCTATTTTTCATGTTTGGTCTGTCAGACTTTGGATTAAAATAAAATCTAATTTGTGAAATATTACATGAGCTTGACTTTTTCAGATGAGTAAAGCATAATATTTATTCAGATGTTAAACTTATAAATAAATTTCTTCACAGTTCAGTTGCACCACTGCTAGAATACTAAAAAAATTAGTTAGTAAATAATCAAAATGGTACTTGTGTTTTGAATAATTTTTCTTTTATTCTTCTTTTTTACAGTTTTAATTAGAAAGGTTTACTGTAAATTGTACTACTTTTAGCTATGCATTGAAGTCTGTCATAAATCAAAAGTCATGTATTTTGTTTTGCATTTTAATTAAAATCTTTTTAGTCTCCTCCATCAACCTGCCAGGTGATTAGAGGTTAAATTTGGCTCTGGCATATTTTCACAACGTATTCATGTTGATCAATATGTATTGTCCCCTTTATAAAAATCAATCTAAAGTTATTGTTCCTACTGGAAACACAAAATGCTCCCAAACAAATGATTTAAGAGTTGTTTGGGCATCTTCAATTAGAACTTCAGAGTTTTATTCAGTTGTCTCAGCCTTCTGGTTTCTCTCCCAGCTGTAGTCAGTCTCTACTCTTAAGTGTAAACTGTAACGACAGGATGGACTTCTTACCTGAATCTGTCACCATGGTAACTCATGTTGCTTTGGAGCAGGTTAGGTTTCAGGATAAGAGATAAAAACAAAGAAAGTACTGTCTATTTTCGTTTTTCAATCAATCAATGAAAAACATAAAGAAAAAATGAAAAATGCTTCAATGCACAACCGCGCTCCATCCTCCGCTACTTTTTTTCCATCTCACTGAGTCACATCGTTACATCTTATGTCTTCAGAAAACCTTTGTGAGAGAAATCTTAGCAATATTGATCCTTGCATAACTAAAACTGAAACTACTTCAAACTGCTACATGCTGTCTGTACATTTACCTTTTATTCTCAGATCGCTTGTGTAACTCTAAGAAAATGCTGTTTAATGTCACAAATTGACCAGAACATATTTCAATTAGGATATTTAATGAGCGCTCCGCCTTTTAGACTGGATCATTTTTATCTTAGTGGACCAAAAATGATGCAACACCATGCACAGATGGCAACATTAATAATGACAAAATGTTAGACTGATTAAATAATTTGTCTTTGGTGTTGAGGATTTATTTGATCATTCATTAGTTTTTTTTATTATTATTATTTCTCTTTTTTGACGAGATTTTCGTTTCTCTCTTTGTGAGTCAGTAATCCTGGATTGATTTACTGAGTTGATAAACAGCTTCATAGCATCGTCTGATCCAGCCATCCATTGTCATGCCCACTCATCCTTGCAGGGTCGTGGGGGGCTGGTGCTCATCTCCAGCAGAGAGGCCACACGTTGTAGAGTCCGAGCGCATTAGATCTCAAGGCCTCAGGAGAATATTTCTACCCAGAGCCAGACTCTGAAAGTGAGCAAAAAAGGTGAAGAATCCCTGAACCTCTTCTAGAGAGGCAACGCTACAGGCTAGCGAAGGCCAGATATGGAAAATATCTGCAAAGCTACAGCTTACATAAGCGATGTATTAATATGTTTAACTCTTTATATTAGTTCGTCCCTATATAAGGAGAAAAATGTGTTGCTATCTGAACAAAAACAGGATATTTTTGGATATTTTTTTGGATTTTGTGTGATGCAGAAACTTGACACATTTTTAGTGGAAATGCAGCTACTCTCCACTCTCCCCTCAGTAAAAAAGCTCACTGGTTTTCATTATTCTTTGCTGGTTGATCCAGTTACTCCATGTCCTGTTCAGTAACACCTTTCTGAAGTATTTATTTCTCTGGTCCAGTCATTTATTCTTAATTCCTGTTGTTTTATTGTTCTGCTCCAGCAACTGGTTTTTGATTTGTTTCAGTTCATCTAATTATTTATGGATTTTTGTCTCTTTCTGGATATTAAGCTTCCATTATAATTGAAATAATGGTGTGTTCCCATCATGATTAATCACCATCCTGTGTAGTATTGACAGAAAATATAATAATCCTTTATTTATTTGTCCCTCAGTGAGGACATTTCTGTATTCAGCAGCAAAAGGACAGAAAGCAAACAGATAGATGCACTGCCTCTCGCTCCTCGTTTTAAATGAGTATAAGTGTGCTGTGATGCAATGTGACAATTTAATTATAAGAAACACAAAAACAAAATCAGTTTATGAGATTAGGTGAGCTGGGTGAGTTTACAGCTACAAAAAAGAAAAGTTTGATTTACTAAATTATGTTTTGTATCTTCCTGCACCTCTTAAAGCAGACTAGTTACCGTTTTTCGGAGTGTAAAACATTTTTTTTTTGAAGGAGTTTCTAAATTTATATATGGACTCCAAGATTTTTCTTTCTTTCTTTCTTTCTTCCTTTTAATAAATACACATTTTGCAAATATTGCACTTCAAATAAAACTCATAGGCTCAATCTTGTCAGCTTATGTGAGTTATAAAAACATTTTGGGATTTTTATCAATATATATAAGAATCAAGTATTTGAAAATTATGACGTCATAGTTCAGTTTTTATGGAACAACATGAAGCTCCTGGCCGAGGGACATATTTTACAGTCATATTCAAATTATAAATACTTCCTGAAAAGTTCATTCATTTCACCAACTCAGTTCACTAAGTGAAGCATATTATACAGATTAATTAACAGATTGATATTTTCAAGCCTTTACTTCTGTTAATTTTGATAATTTTCTGCTTACAGCTAATAAAAACAACATTTAAAATTAAAAATAAACACATTAAAATAAAACACATTTCAATACAGAATTTTGCACTTAATTAAAAGTAGGTTCAATGCCTACAAACGAAACTAATCTGAGTACATATTCTAATTTATTAAATATGATTGTATATCTTTAGTATACTGTAATTTACATTCATAAAATAATGTTTCTTTAGTGGATAAGACACCAAAACTGACTCCATCTCAGAAATTTGAAATGAATCCTTGGAAATCCAACCCTAAGTGTGACTCTTAAATGCTTTTACTTACCAATTCCAACATGGTGCTAAATGATACACAACTGTCATCTAAGATTAAAAAAGCTGTAATGTATAACTTTGGAGTTTTGACTTCAAGGTTCAGCCTGTAGTTGTAGCATTTCATGCAGAAATTGCTCACTGATTGGTCGTTGTTTTGCTAAGGTGCCTGGCTTTAAATGAGTGGAAAAACTTCCAGCTTTAAGTCCAGTTTTAGAAGTTTATCTCAGAAAAATCAGGCTGTACGTAATGTGCCGCGTGACGTAAAGCTGTACAGTCTTAAACAGGCGAATTGAATTAAACTGCTTAGGCAATATTTGACATGAGAGAAAAACACTGAGATGGTTTCAAGCAAAACAACGTGGGACAAATTTACATGAAAATGTCAAAATTTGCACAAAAACTTAAAGATAGAACCCTAAATAACCTATTTAGATAGACTGTCAGCAAAAAGAGTTGATTTGGGAGCTAGTTTCTTCTTTTCTTTTTTTTTACCATTGCTCTTTCCATTGTTGTCCATCATCCTGAATTTGCTCATAAGGGACTTCATTCTGGTAAAGATTCAAACTAATCCTTTAATTTCATTCTGCCTGACTAATTTGTCCAAATTAGAATTACATAACACAATCATACTGGGTTAGAAAGTCTGGGATCTGTAATTAATTTGATTTAACAAATCTAAATTACATAATTGATTGATTTGGACCAGTTTTCAGTCGATCTAAATGAATCACTGTGCATAATGGCTTCTAAAAACAAAACAAAAAACTTATCTAAATTAGATAAAACATCTGACATCAGGTGCAATCACCCATAAACTACACAAGTTTCCCACAGTCATGATGTAAATAATCTGTTGCACATTACTCAAGGGAAAATATTTAATGGAGGGTCAGAGGGGGGAACATCATGGAACATCTCTAAAATTAAAAACATGGGCTACGGTAATTATTAGCTTTGTTTTAATGGTTTTAATAATCCCCAATTTTCTGCTTGGGCTGTCAGAATACATTTTGGATGACAACAAACATTAAACACATAAACAAAACATTTTATTCTTCTCTGAAGAATAAAAAAAAACAAAATTTTCCTGACATTTTAAAAGTACAAACATCAAAGTTCAGACTCATTATAAACACAAAGAAATGTAACTAATTCCCTCCTGCACTCGTCTGATATTCAGTGTTTTATTCCAGCTTCTACTCACTGCTTAGTTCGATCCGGATGAAGTCCTTAATGCCAAGGTTTTCCAGGAATACTCCAGAGGAAGCAGTGGTCTTAAAAAGGAAGGAGATGTCTGCGCTCAGCTCACCGTGGAAGGTGGGGAAGTGGAGGTATGACGTCTCCTTGTCAAAAAACGCAGCGTTCCAGAAGTTCTCTGCGAGAAAGTGGGAAAAACAAATAAATTCACTGTCAAGATCTTCAGAATAAAACCAAAAAAAAAAAAAGAAGAAAAAAACAGGAAGGCAAACAGGGCTGAGAGTGTTTTATAATTCTGATTGTTTAGGGAAAATGTGGCTTAAATTACAAAACAGTAAATGAAATCCATGCAATCTTACTCAGCATGTAATAAATCTAGAACTTTTAGGTTTTAGATTTAAAACCTTTCATTACCATTTCGGCTGTTTGTCTAATTTTTAGATATATTTGTCAAAGATGTATTGCATGGGGAATGAATTCCTGTTATGTATAAAGTGTTTATATAGGGGCAACTGGATTAATTGGGCTGTTTACGATGTTTCACCTCGCATGCAAAAGGCTTCTTCAGTTCTTTTTGCATGTGAAGTGAAACCTCCTCAAGATACAAGGAAAGAAGTGAAAATTCAAGATTTTGTTTTTATTTATTTTTGCAGGGTTTTGTTTCTGTTTGGGTCTCAAAAACACCCAGTTGTTTTTTGGCAGTAAGTTAATATTTTTTGGTGTCTGGAAAAAGAGTCGATTCAAAAACTTCCTGATTGTTGAGTCAGACTGCACCGTTACTTAGCAACCCCAGCAAAGCTCAGACCTTTTACAGCTGGTTTTACTGCTGTACAATGGCTGCTGGAAAAGGCAAATATTTTGTTGTTGACTTATCATCCAGAAATCACTTGCTGCATTCTTTTTTGTATAGGAGGCTCTACTTCTGCTTTTCAAAGATGTACAATTGTATGACTGGACATATCTCTGCAGCTATTTTCATGTGAGAGTGTAAACGTTGATTTGGAGAGTGTGGCCGGCAGCAACTTATTTGGATTTGAAGTGAACTGCTAAAACTGCTCATTCTAAAAAAAAAAACTAAAAAAAAAAAAAAAAAAAATCAAAATAGGAAGGACAGACCAGACTAAAATCTGATTAAAAATGATTTTGTGCAACAAATATAATACACATGTTTTGTATAGACCATAGTCCTATCCTAACCTGTTCAAGGAAGCATAATAGATCTCATTTAAGCACTTGTAGATGTAAAATACAGCTCTTATGTTACTGTAAGAAATTAGAAAACTCAAAAATTAAATCGGTTTAAGGAAACAAACAATTATAGGCATAAATGCCTTTGCTTTTGGCTATAGTTGCGAATAAATTATAAGAAAAACAATTTACATTTAATAGGCTGTCCAGGATTTATGACCTTATATAGAAATCAGATTTTTAAGACCCTTGCTAAAAACTATGTTTAAGATAAATAAGTTAGAGAGGCTCAGTTAAAGTTAAAAGGTTTAGGAAGCACTGATTTAGATAAACTTACTGTCTCCATAGCAACGGAGTGGTCCCACCCTGTATGCTGCCTCTGACCCCGGCCTCTGGAGGTCACCCACTACCAGAGATCTGACTGGGAGGCTTTCCTTATGGGTGACCAGGCCTGAGTCCTCAGTCCTGGAAAACAAAAACATAAAAAAGAGGAAAAATAAGCAGAAAAAATGGCAAAACTGCTCCTGCATTGATAGCTTGCAAATTCACATGGATGTACAACACATTTAGCTACAACATCATATGAGACAGAATCTAGATGCATCACTTCACTGCAAAAACACAAAATTTCATCATGAATTTTTGTCTAGTTTCTAGTATGAATATTTTAGTACTCTTGGAATAAGACATAACTTGTAAGTTTTCAGAAAGATGAGCTGTTTAAGTCAACAATTTTTGAATATGGTTACAAACAATACTAATTCCACTTGTAGATTTTATTCACTTAAAACAGGAAAATTGTGTTTTTGTCATAAATAAAATATACAAATGAAGCTAGAACTTTTTTTTTAACCGTATTCAAGAATTATTGACTTACAACCAGCTTATACTTCTTGTTGAAAAGTTACTTTTAAGTTAGCTTCATGTGTACCAAGATATTTGCACTAGAAACAAAAATACTTGGTAATATTTTGTATTTTTGCAGTGTTGTTTCAAAATTAACTTTTACTCCCATCTTCATCTTTGTAAATGTTATCATTTTTGCAGAGTAAAAATTCAGGATAACAAAAATCAACAACCAGGATTGAAAGCAGAGATGCACAGAATGTTTTATGCCTGATAAAATATGGAGGCGCAGCAGTAGTAGCTCTTTTCTGTGAAAAAAACATTATAATGGAAGTCAGGATTTGCAGGTGGGTGTTGCTCTGTACTTACAACATGATCAAAGGTTAAAGCAGCTTTTTTGTTTTTGCCTTGTCAGTTTATTCCAGATGATTTGGTGTTTGCTAAACTACTGAAGTTGCAAATGGTGCGTTGCCAGTCACTCGTGTGAAGCGGAGCGAGGTGAAAGGTTCAGACGTGGCTCGTTTATTTTCTGCGTGTAGATTTCGGCTGAGCGTTCGTATAACTTCATTCTGATTTTGACATGTTTTCTTCGCTGATCGTTAATCATTTCTGTGTGGCAAGCTGCACTGCAAGGCAGATGGAGTCAGAAAGAACTGCTGTTTTTAGTCTGTATCAGCAGTTGGGTGAAGAATATAACAAAATAGTATCCATATTGTTTATTACTAGTTGAAAGATCAATGATGCTGATACAGCAGAGCTTTTCAAGTCACTCCACAGTATCTCAGAAGGATAAAGATCTGGCCTTTAACCTCGTTTTGCAAGTTTATATTTAAAACACAAAGACTTTGCTTTTGCACTACAAAAACAAAATCTTACCAAGTAGTTTCTGTCTAGTTTATAATGCAAATACCTTAGAAAACTTAAATTAAGACTAAACTAACTAATAAGTAACTTTTCAGCAAGACACAGAAGAAGTTTCACTTGCAGATTATTTTTCTCCCTCTGCTTGCATGGGTTCTCAAGTTAATAGACTATAATAAATTATCTTTACATAAGAGTGTGTGCGTGTGTGTTTTTGTCCTGTGTGTCTTTGTGTTGCTCTGTGATGGACTGGCGATCTGTCCAGGATGTTCCCCGCCTCTCGAATGATGGCTGCTGGAGATAGGCACCATTAACTCCCCTACAACCTTGCAAGGATAAGCAGGTGTAGATAGATGGCTGGAAGGATGGATGTCCAAATATGATTGGAAAACCACATGACAGACGACTGTACATGTCTATAATAGTCAGTACCACTCCAATCTGTCTGCGTCACAGTTGCAGTAGTGTTGTGGATCCAGGCAGTCGCCCTGCAGGCCGCAGCCACACTGCTGGCTGCCTGGATGAGCTCCTCCCCAGTAAGTCTGCTCACGGCCGGGGGCGAGGCCGCCGAGCCACCAGCTGAACGGAGACCCCTCTGAAACACACACCACACACACACACACAAACACACACACACACACACACACAACGGCTACATGAAAACTTTAACAGAAATAATCTCTTTATCAATGTGATTTTGGATGAGTTTACTCCAAATGTCCACGTGGACTTCAGGTTACTTTACACATAATTATAATTAACCAACATAGAAATCAAATATCACACACCTGGTGAAGCTTATTCTTAGTTTAGATGTAAATTATATATAGGGGTCTTTTGTTGACTAATTATAACTCGTATCATTAAAGAAAATCGACTTGTTGAAATAACCTAGACTTGCCTTAAAACTCCCCACTAATAATTTGATTTTAATATCAAGTCTAACAGAAATTGAAACCTGTAAACAAGCTGTTTCACAACAAACAGGACAGAAAATTAAGATTCAATTAAAAGAAAAGCGTATTGAAAGAATGTAGACCAAGGACTTCCTCCAGAATAACATATTTTTCTTAACTGCACAAAACAAAAATGTTGCTTCTTGAGCAAAATAACCACAATCTAATTAAACCTAAAATTTTAATACTCCAGATGAAAATTCTTAGTTTTTTTCCTTCTGTAAGTACATCTGTCTCCCTACTTGAAGTGAACAATAGAGAGATATTCCAGCTACATTAACCAGTTTTATCCATCTTCATGGTTCCATGGTTACCACTTTTACATGTTCTGCCTTGAAATAATAATAAAGAAACACAAGAGCATCTCTACCTGGGGTGTTGAGAAGGCGGGACTTCCTGCAGTGGTAGGAGAGTTCCTGTTCACAGTGCTCTGATTGGCTGATGGAGCCCAAAAGCTGCTCCTCTTCAGATGAGTAGCTGAAGTGGAGCGATTGTTGGTCCACACCAGAAACCGGTCGCAGTCTGGTCAGCTCAGTGTTGTTGTGCTGGATAATCATCCATGTGTCGCTCTCTGTAAACATAAAAACGTGTTGATATAATTATTATGTCCTAATTTTTTTGACAGAGAAAGCAATTGAGTGTAAATAATCAAGTGAAATTCATCTTTAAATCAAATATCTTGTACACTTGACATAAGACAAAATTAATTCACAAATAACTTTTCAGCAAGATATAGGAGCTTGTTTTAAGTTAATAATTCCTTAATGTTGATGAAAAAGTGCCATTTATTTTGATCTATAATATGAGAAAATATCCTTTTCTACTGGGAAATTGTTTCACTTGTAATAAATACTTTTAAATAATATTAAAGAATTACTGACCTAAAAAAAAAAGCTGAAAAGTTACTTGTAAGTTAGTTTAGTCTTATTTCACTAGAAACATGACCAAAATACTTGGTAAGATTTTGTGTTTCTGAATCAGCAAATCATTATGTAAGCTTGTTAAAATTAACCAAACAAGCAGATAAGAGATGAGTGGAAACACCTGCTGCTGTCAGAAAAGAATCTACAGCAGAAGAAAGGTCACGCATGCTGAACTTTCTCTTTGATCTGAAATGTACTGGACTAAATTAGGTTCTAGATTATTGTATATCTTGCTAAGTGCTTTAAGATTGTGAGCCGTTGTACAAAACAAACATATTATTAAACCTAACTGAACTGACCTATAGATGTAAATTATAGTGTGTGGAATACAACAGAAAAACACAAAACTCTTTCCATGTGGGATCATCATAGAAAATATGGATAAACCCACTTGTTTAGGTATGCTGGCTGGGTGGTTCTTCTTTTCTCTTGTTTGTTTGGAACAGAATCACACATTTTTTGTATGTTTCTCTTTCTTTTTAAGAGTAAAATAAATCCAGATGTTCCGTTTTTGTTTTGTTTTATTTTTGTTTGCATAAAACCTGTTAAAGACGAGACAGATTTTATCTCTAACATAAGAGTCTTTGCCCTCAGTCAGGTTAATATACATGATTGTGATCAATTCCCTGCAGACATATAAGCTACAACAATTTGAGTTTCACCAAAACTGCTGTATGTTATGAAACAAGTGTCCTATCACTGTTTATATCATAATGTAAGGAGGTAAGAGGCTGGTAGGGTGGATGACTGAATGATGTTATAATGGAGATTTTAAAAAAAGCACAAGAAACATCAATGCTATCATAATAAAGATTATCGTGCACCAGGAGAGAGGAAGCATTTCAGGCAGGTAGGTAGAAAATAAAGTGAATCAGACTGAGATGAGTGAAGAATCATCATTTGCAATTATGCAAATTCCAAGCATTCAAAACAAAGTTATGACTTAATAGAGAGTTGCGGTGTGTGTGTATGTGTGTGTGCGATACTTGTCATGTTGCAGTAGACCAGCTGTGGCTTGATGGGTCCGCTGCCGTCCACGTCGATGTAAAAATATCCCGATGTGTTGCCGCTGTGTTTGTACGCTTCACAGGACTGCTCATACACAGCTGGGAGGAAAAATAATGAGAACATCGTCAGGAAGTCGCCTACAGCAGCAGAGACAGGGATGAAGACCAAACACTGCTGGAAAAGATTATGATTGCTGCTTCACATGGAAACACACTGGACAAAAAATGTCTCCGACTAGAGTTTGCAAATAACCTCCTTTCGGATAATTGTTGCATTGAAGATTAACTGTCAGCAGGCAACAAGTTGTTTAACTCCAACTGACTTCTTTAAAAAAAAACATGCAGACAGACACATCCCAGGGACCTAAAAAGATGTTTATTTAAAATGGGTCATTGAGAAAATATCTAAAAAAATTACAGAAGCTACTAAAATTTGATTAAAAGTTGTGCAACGCGTTATTAAAAACTGGTAGGAAAGCAAGGAAGATATATGACCGGAAAGAAATCATAAATGATGGGCAATCACTTAAACTTGTTGTGCAGTGCAAAAACACAAAATCCTACCAAGAAGTTTTAGTCTAATTTCTAGTGCAAACATCTTAGTACACTTGA